AGGCTTCAAAGACTCTTAAACAACACGTGGCAGCCTTTCTATGGAGGCACAACCACGAAGCTCAACATACTATCAGTCACGTAGCCTGGGATGTGGTGGTGCAGCCAAGGGCAAATGGTGGTCTAGGCATACGCGACCGAGCCACCCAAACGACTGCTCTTTCACTCCAATGGTTGAAGCGGCTCGTTTGCACCCCCAGACTCACCTGGGAGCCCCTAGCCTGGGAACAATTGTCGAGACTGGCACCAAAGGCCGCACCAACTACACACCCTATGGCTTGGTTAGATGATGTTTTCTGGGCAATTCCCAGACCCCCCACCTAGCCACAACCGCACTCAGATCGCGCCGCAGCTCGCATGGACCAGAGGCTCCCGCTCCCGGATAGGCCATTCCCTGAACGGTGGGAGGAAGTTGCTCACCAACCCCTATTTGGAAACCGATGGGTAACAGATCAACAGGGGCGGGTTTTTCTCATCTCAAGCCGTCCGTGGAGGGGATGGGTAAGAAATGGGCTCACGAGGGTTGGGGATCTGTGGGACCAAACCAGAGTCGATTGGGTATCAGAAGAGCAGTTGAGAGCAAAGCTCCCCCACTGCCAAAGAATAGGTGAGAGGCTGGACCAGATCCTTTTCGCCCTCCCTCTTGCATGGCTGCGAACTCTTCGGCGGGGTCCAACCGTGGAGGAAGGTGACTAGGTGGTGTTAAGAGGGGATGCAACTTGGGTGGGGGAAGTACTCACAGTCAGACCAGGGGAGGTGATGGTAATTTTTTTTTATCGAACACAACTGAACCAGCTGATTAGGGGAGTGTCGGATGAAATCTACAAGATTCCAACAAGGAACAATAGACCAAAACATCATTACCTCCACACACTGGGTGTTAAGGCATCCTATCGGATGCTCAGGAGTAGACTCAACCTGAGGGACCGTATAGTGGACCGTTGGGCAAAGCACTTAAATGTCCCATTACAAGTCCTGAGACCAATAAAATGGTTTAAAGAGGTAAAATCCAAACCAGCCAAGACCGCCTCGCTCCACTGGCAGACTACCCATCGCTGCTTACCCACAAACGCACGACTCATTGACCATACCCATCTGGAGCAAAAAGGGTTGGCCCTCCCTTGGTGTCTGGCGTGCAAGGAAGGCTTTCCCTCTCGAAAGGCTAACGAGACAATAGAAGATATTTTCCTGCAATGCCCAACTTCAATCTTGATGTGGCGTGGGCGGGTTCCGGGGTTCGGATTTGGAACCAGCTAGGCATTGACAGGGATTGGCCGTGGGAATGGAGAGCCCTGCTAACTGGTCATTGGACCGCTCAAACCTTGACCTTTACGACTAACTTCTTTAGGATCGGGAGGGAAGCCGTATTATGGGCCATATGGCGTCGCAGATGCACTCTAGCACTTGAAGGCACCCATGTGGAAAGAGGCGAGATGACGGATATGATTAAAGACATGATAGAAACAACAATCAGAGCCCAGTGGAAAAAGACTATACAAGTGCGAAAGCTCTCACAAAAAGATCAGACATTTCCCATAAGCTACATGAATTCTGCATGGACTGGCTGGGAAGTGAACAGGGAGGATGGATTGCAAAGATTCAATGGGATGGATCGCAGTTGGATGACAATGATCGGTTGGACACATTGCAGAAAGACTACAGTTTGATCTTCCATGATTGGACTGCAATTCCCAGCAACAGCCCACTCCCCCCTGCCTCTGAAGACCCTGACCTATTTCCCTCGCCCAACAATGCCTTGGTTGAATTGAGTTGGTATGGCCGAGACACAGGGGAACCTCTCCAACAGAGATTTTAGGGGACCGATCATGATGGATGGGGGTATTGGGAGGAACTGGCAGTCTGCCCCAGTCGCCCCTGGGTGCAGAACCCGCCTCCTTGCCCCTCTTGCACATCAGGCCGGGCCACTGAAGACACTGCAGGAAGTTTGGTAACCCAGTATACAAGGGAGAACTAGCTAAGCATGGCTCGTCAGGCGCCCGCTCACTCCTGCACAGTTAATCCCCTGGGATCCCAGGACAATCAAGGATGACAGGCAATTTCATGATCTCAACAAAAGCATGAGAATATTGGTTTTCTCCCTTTCTCAGCAACCTGCACAGTTAATCCTCTGGTTACCAGAGTAATCAATGCTGGCAGGCCTTTGCTCAGTCATTTTTTCTGATATCCTGCTCAGTTAATCCTCTGGAATCCAGAGTAATCAATGCTGACAGGTATTTTCCAGATACTGATTATCTTCTGTCTTTGCTGGTTTTTCTGAATCATTCTGTACAATGGACGCTGGACTCGTTTTCTAGCAAGTGATGCTCCCCACCAATAGATGGAGCCTCTCCCCAGGTGCTGGCGGTGTCTACTTTTACCAGCACCACTAGCACTGAGTGTCTTGTGTAATAATAATAAT